TTTGAGGTCCCTTCCAACCCAAACCGTTGTAGGATACCTTACATTTAGGCATTCAGAGCTACCTTAGCAGCTGCTATAGTGATCTGTTGGATAGAAATCATGGAAAGTGATAAAACCATGAGTGTTTATGTAGCCTTGCCAGGGCTTGCATGCCTGAAGTGCACTTTTGGGTTTGTTTTACTCTTTTGTGTCGTATACCTATTTTGGGATCAGTACGGACTTGGGCATGGGTTTTAATTTGGAACATCTTGCCATTCAGTCACACGAGACTGTTTGAATAGTTTCCCATCGGATTTAATATGGTACTCACAGTGTAGAGAAAGAGCAGTATGTAGCAGCTATGTGATCCTAGAGAGATGATGACTCTGCTTTTCTAGTGGATTGGCTTCCTAATGGATGTTAACCATCAGCTGCCTCATAGCATAGACTTCTAGTAAATCATCTGTCTGAGATGTAAGGAGATTTTTGTTCCAGTGGCTGTGGTCAAAGTACTGTGTTTTCAGAAGTTTCCCTTCCGAGTTCCCCACCACCACCTTTTTCTCAGCTTTTTTTTGGAAAAGATCCCTTATTACTGCATACAGAAAACCGAATTGTTGGCATACGGGAGTCAGTTGGAGTTGTTGCTCTGACTTTGATACGGTTAAACATTTGATTCATGTCCGTTTAATATTATAGTAGAAATTTCACATGCTTTACAAATGTTTCCATAACTTGTGCATTCAGATATTTATCCAAACATAATTGCTATGGGTTTTCCTGCGGAGAGACTTGAAGGAGTGTACCGGAACAACATTGATGATGTAGTAAGGTAAGGCTTCATTTTTCTTTTTCTTAACTCGTTGTTGTAAATCTGATCTATCCTTTTCTACACTCATTTATGTTCTGCTGAGGAAAGGATGTGTGTTCTGACTTGTAGTAATGGCAAGTTTTTTGCATCTTGTGGATAATTGCCTTATTGGCTTTCCTGAAAAATATTGGAAACAATGAAAATGATATTTTCAAGAAATTTAAGCCACGCTTCTGTTCTTGGTTGATCTCAAATGCATGTAATCTGCTTTTTAGTGAGAAAAACTGATTTCAGTAAATTGTCTTGGGGTAAAAGGAAGTTCTTTGCTTTTAGAAAGATGTCGGTCCATGCCTCTGTTCCTGGTGTTGAAAGTTTCCGTAGGTAGCTGATGGCATTTCAGAATATGTTAGCCCATATCCTCTCTTCAGTCAATTAAATGAAGTGCTTGAGAAGTTAATTCTGATTTCAAGTAGTAAATACAGGTGACTTTGGGTAAAGGCTTTTACATCTGGCTGTGTTCAATAGTTGTGGGTGAGGAGAAAAATCAGCTAAAATTCGTTGTTGCTGGTGATGCTTTATAGCATAAAAAAAACCCCAAAAAACAAAAACCAACAAACCAAGCCAAAAAAAAAACACCCCAAACTAAACCTACACATTGTGATTTTTAACATCAAATGAAGTTATCTACTCTGCCCCCAAAAAACAAAAACCAACAAACCAAACCAAAAAAAAAACCACCCCAAACTAAACCTACACATTGTCATTTTTAACATCAAATGAAGTTATCTACTCTGAACTGGTGGCTACAACTGTGGAAGGGGTACTTAGTGTTTTAGGAGCATTGTTGTAATTTGTTTAGTCAACACCCTGCCTGGAGAATGCAGTGTGAGAGGGCTTTAAAAACGAAATACTTGGCAGAAGCTGCCAAATATTAGTGGTTTTAGGATCCTAAGTTACGATTTTTTTTTTTTAAGTCATGCGTGATGCTTTTGAGATCTTGGGCATTTGAGGACATGGGTTCAGTAGCTCTCCAAGAGGCTTGATGTTTGGGGATGAGGGGGATAATGTAAGGGACACAGTTATGCAGCAAAGTTAGAAGTAGGTGTATGTGGTGGATGCTCCATCCCTGGAGATGTTCAAGGCCAAGTTGGACGAGGCCCTGAGCAACCTGATCTAGTTGGAGATATCCCTGTTCCTTGCAGGGGGGTTGGACTAGATGACCTTTGAAGGTCCCTTCCAGCCCTAACCATTCTATGATTCTATGTGGGCCAAGGAGGTGCTGCTCCCAGGTTGAGCTGCCACAGAAGGTCTCTCGTAGTCGTTGGCAGGCAGGAGGAGCGCTGCTCGAACTTCACTGCTAGTTGTTTGCATCAAAGTTGGTACAGAAATGAGTGGGGACGGCCACACTGGGAGGAATCGTAACCCTCGACTGAGAATGGGTCGTCTGGAGCAGCGACCTCCCCGCGCAGCTGCAGGATGACTTCAAGGGAGTTTCGGGTTTGCGTGTTTAACCGTCGTGACGAAGCTGGCAATCCACGAATAGCACCGAAAATACCAGAGGCTGGGTTTGACCAGGCGTGCAGGAGCGACCTTGTTCTGCCACCCGGCCGCGAGGAGAAGTCACTTTTCCAGAGCTGGTCAGATCCGTTGGGTTGAGCATAGCAAGCTTCTTGGAGACCATGTAGGTCTTTGCTAGAGTCATTAAGAGACGTGAAGTTGTGTCTTTTAATCACACCATTGCACGCAAGAAAAAGCTTTTGCTGTCCTTCTGGGATGGTTAAGGGGTGTCCCACAACCTCCAGCTATCTAACCACCTTTCTGTGCCAGTCAGAGCCACCTTTTCATTCAGTTGATGTGGGCGTTGCATCTGCTACATGAAACCCGTGGTCGCTGATGGACTCCACCTTCGGAAATCAGAGAATGGGGGCAAAGGCTGGGCTTGAAATAACCAACGTGGGAATAATCCAAATAAATAATAACAGGCCTTTGAAGGCCTTCTTCCATTCACAGCACTGGTTTCAGTTGCTTCTGTAGGAAGAAAATGTATTTTATTGGTTAAGTATGTGCATATGTGTGAATTAGACTTCTGAAAGGGAATAACTACATCATTACTAAGTTGTCCATAAACACCGATCAGGAGGAGTGCAGTGATCACCTAAAAGTGTCCTCAACCAAATGAAGTTCCAGAGAGATGTAACTGAAGTGACCGTAGGGAACTGGATGCTGAAGTAGTGTTGTGTTTGCCCCCTGTTTTTTAAACAAGAATTTAAAGCACAAAATGGGATCGTGCAGCGTTCTGCGTGTTGCGGTCAGCAGGTCCTTATCTGCTCCTGTCATCTTTTTATTGTGGATTTTTTTTTTTTTTTTTTTTTACCAAGAGCTTTTTATGCAGAAATTCAACGTGTTTGAGCTCCGGAGCAATTGGTATTGAGCCAGGATATGCCAGTGTGTGGGTTTTTTTTTCTGAATAGCTGGTATCCTGACAAATGTAACGCTAATACTGTATGAGAAGTACGACCTGGACTGCTGTTTCCATGTGACTGACGCTTTGAGAGGTTTTGGATGGAATTTTTGTCCTTGGAAAAATTGCACGAAAGCTTATACTCAGCGTTGTGGGTATTACTGGCAGAGTCAGCTCTCTTTGCTCTCCGGTGTGTTTTAAACAAGTGGGAACATCTCCTGAACCAAGTCACCGCATCCACCATCTTCCTTAATCTCCCAAAGTTTTGCCAACAGAGGCGCCAGTGGGAGTGCCGGAATATTTTTGGCGATGGAAATTGGAATCTCGTACTCGATGCCGCACGAGGAGCGTTCACATCTGTTCTCGTTTTAACGCGTCGACTTAACCACAGAGTTCTTCTAGGTTCTTCTGGAATATTATGACTGATAACCAGAGCTTGTTTTCGCTGGAGCTTTCCAGGATTTTAGCAGCTAGTGTTTCTTTTCAATTTGAACAGCATGTTCTGTCATGGCTAATTAAATTCCTTCTGGCTGATGTGCAGATACACACTGTTGATGATGTTAAGTGTAAACATTTGTATGTTATTTCTTCTTGAACATTGCCAGGTGACACATCATATATAATCACAGCAATTTTGATGAATCATGTTTGCAGTTTGGCTCTCCGAGGCCTGGATGGGAAGTTTTTTTGTGACAAAGCGAGCACGAAAGCGAAACGAGTGTGAAAAAGTACAGTGGTCTTCCTCCTCCTTTCCGAGCCCAGAATATCAGCGGGCACTGTCCTCAGGCTTCAGTGGCAAATAACGGCTGCTTTAAAAACCTGGTATTGAAATAAATGATTCTGGCTGTTGTAACTGGAATACAAAAGTGATTTTAACAGCTTTTTCCATTGGAAGTACCACTGTGGCAAAATATTTTGCATGGACAATTAAATTGGAAGTAATACCTTGTGGTATCGATACTTTCTGCTGTGAAAAGAAACAGCCCTTCCTCTGGGCGCGCAGGTATGTTAGAAACCAGTGCAAATTGGTCCATGCAATAAATATTTCAGTTGCAGGGTCAGGTCTTGGTCTCCTCGCTCGCACAAGTAGTCTTACTCATCCAAATAATCCGGGAGTAGGAATGAGGTCTGCAACACGCCGCCTCCTTGACTTTGGGACACAGCTGGGACTTGGGGTGCAGAACGGCGCGCGCCGGGTGGTGCTTGAACAATGCTGCAAATTAAGGTCACCACGATTGCAATGTGTATTAATACATGCCTTCTGTTTTTTTTTTTCTTTTCTTTAAGGTTTTTGGATTCAAAGCATAAAAACCATTACAAGATATACAATCTGTAAGTACGCTCTTCTAGATGTGTTTTCCGAAATAACGAGTTCTAAAAATAGCTTATGAGTGAAAGTGGCTTGTTGCTGTACTGAAGCAGAGCTAGAGATCTTTTGCACGTTTCTTAAACAATTAAGCCTGATTGAGAGCCCTGTTTCTTCGTTTAGGGAGCTGAGCGAGGTTAAATGAAACGCTGGTGTGTGTTCATCTTACTCGACTTGGCATCTCGCCCATCTGGAGCTTGTACTGTGTGATTAAAAAGTGAAAAGTAATTCACAGCAGGCTTTCTGTTAATGTATTAATGTCCACAGTGAAGAAATTGCCAAATATTTTTGTGGTTTTTTTTTTTTTTGGTGTATTGGTACCCAGGTTCTGTTTGCTTCCTCACTCTTCTTGACTGTCCCTGTTTATTCCTTTGAAAAAGTGATCGCAGCAATGGGTAACGTGATGGTTTCTCACTTTCGTGACTGTAATGCTTTCCTCTGAAAATTTAGTTATGCAGAAAGCTGTTCTCGTTACAGAAGGGATTTTTTGTGTTGTTGTTCCTTGGTCATCTTTATGTGTTAGCTTAGGCTAATTTCATTTGTATAAATGATTTGGTGATGTCAGCTAATGCTGAAAAGTAGGTCATGGTTTTCCTACCCCTCGTTTTTTTTTCCCCAGAAATCTGTTGAAGTTGTATTGATTCTCTGAGCTGTTAAGACTTTCTTTATTTTTTTAAATGAATATGTTTCTACATATCTTCAATTCGTGGAAGAATTACTGTAGTGTGGAGATCCAGGCAATGCATTACATCGTCATCTGTTGGTCATTAAAAATAAGTATTTAAATACGCCTCTAAATCAGTTGAAGGGTTACAGGTCAAGCAGCTCCGTGTCCTGCTGTTGGAGTGAAGTGATACTAGAAGCTGAGAAGTTGTGTCTTGGTTATGGAAGTTGTCTGTAAAGCCTGGGGTAGGATGGGACAGAAAAAGATAACATAAATAAAATGCGCGTTAAAATAAACTCCTTGGACGCCTTTCATACAGTTCAGTAACAAAATTTTCTCCAGCTTAGAAGCTCTCTAGTGTTAGGCTTTTAATAAATGCTGTTGTGGTGACACTTAATGGGTAGAAGGGACAATGCTTCCTACAACAGCTGATAAAGAGGTAACTTTCTGGATATCTTCCTTCTGGAGCTCGGTGCTGGAGATCTGTAGCATATAAAATCTAACTACCGTGGTTTTATTGCACCTCCCTGAAGCCTCCTGACAGCTTCTGCTTGGTTTGGTGGTAGGCACAACTTAATTTCTTCCTGCTTCTTGGGGCTGAGGTCAGCTGTTGGCTGCTGGGAAGCATGGCTCTGGTGTCACTTAGAAGATTGGGGTTTGCTGAGCTGCCTGATCCTGAGCTTATTGTTTTGGATCAGCTCGGGAGGTGACAGGTAAAAATAATGGGTGGCTGTGTGTTAACTTCTAGGCTTGGTCAGAAAGTCAGAGCTTAGGGGGACGTGTGCATCTTCACAAGTAGCTCCTCAGGGAGGTGGTGCTTGCAAAGTTTCCACTTGGTGTGCTAACAGCCTCCTTTCACTTCAGAAAAAAAAGCAAAAACCAATCCCCCACCTTTACAGAGGAACAACTTCAAAGTTTTTAAGTGAGAAGAGCTGCGATGAGACAAATGCTTTTGACATTTACATGACTGATATGTAAAAAACTAAATGAAAATGAAAACTATTATGTTTTCAGCTGTGGAAAGAAGTTGCCCAAGTGTGCCGAAGGCTTTCGTCTTCAAGTTCTTCCTATAAAAATTTCTTTATAGGAAGAACTATATATTTCTTCCTATAAGTTCTTCTTATAGTTTCTTATAGTTCTTCCTATAAAAATTTTAACTTTTCGGTGCATGAACCCCGCATTGATTTTCCTTCTGCAGGATAAAAGATCCTTTTCAAGTGGGTGGGTTTTCTTCTTCCCCAAAACATGGATCAGTTGCAAATGAAGATTCAAGTGATGACTGCACAACTGGGAAAGGATGGCTTTTAAACTGGCTGCCTAGGGAGGCCAGGTTATCTCTTGATCTTTATGAGGGCAGAATTCATCCACACGTGTGGTACATAAATGTCATTAGGTGAATTGTTGCAGTGTTTGGCCCTGAGATGGGAGGAAACTGCAGCCTTCAGGTGGTTTGGAGGAGAGCATCTCTGTACGTGAAGCTTTGTAAATAATCGACTGTTGTCTGCGCTTCAACGGAGGAGGTGGGAGTTGAGAGCAGTTATGTGATGAGATTCAGAATTATTTCAGGCACTGTCACGGGGTTTGAGTTCCCTCAAGGTAGCTGGTATGTGAAGTTCCTAATAATGTGTCTAGTGAGCGGTTTTACTTAAAAGGATTTAGGGAGATTTTTCTGAACTGATGCTTACATGATGTCGCTTGTGCCTCATCCTTGCATCTTGACTTTTAACTTCCCAGTGAATGTTGGAGCAACCAGTTTCATTTTGTTTCTTGTTTGTGTTGTTTTTTTCTCATGGGTGCATTTAACCCTTTGCTGTTTCTTCAGTGTTCTTTATTTTAACATGTTCTTTCACTTTTCCTCTCCTGACTGCCAAATTGTTACCTCCCCTATTGAAATAATCTCCATCTTCTCCAGTATATTTCTTTTAACAGGCAGATAATTAAAGGAAGGAGCTGGAATGAGCAATGTGGATTTTATGCTTTCTGTACCTCTGTGTTCATGGGGTTGGTGTAGACTTTGGCATGGGCTGCCGTCTTCTCGGTAACCTACAGTCCTGTCGTCAGAGGGGTCGTGGTTATGATCAGAAAGGTCCACTTAGCAGCTGGGTTGCTTTAAACTTACTTTAATCGTAAGGAAGATTACAAGAACTGTGCCAACCCACTCATCACCCTCAAAATCCAAAAAAATTTTTTTTTTATCCAAAAATATTTTTTATCCAAAAAAATTTTTGCCCATGTGTGGTGGTGTTTTTTTTTTTGATGTCTTGAAGACTTTCATCTCGTACTACCCCTTTGAACTGGGTGTTTCTTTAAAAGGAAGAAGGAAACTGTCTTGGAGAAGATGCTTTGTGTTAACTGCTTTGCTTCCTAGCAGACTCAACTTCCAAAGTTCATGTGCTGACTAGCTTGCAAGAGGCTTTGCCCAGCATGGCTGATGGCTGCTCCAGGCGTGGTGACTCCAGCCTGGGTGTACATGCTGCATCTAACCTTTCTTCTTGAAGGCTCGGGTGCAGATAATGTGTTTTTGAGTCCCATCTGCCAGCTTAACCTGTGCCGTATCGCCTCTGACCCAGAGAAAGTGTCAGCAACGTGATCAGAGCTGTAAAAACTGCCAGACTTTTCCCTAGCAGAGCCCAGAGTTGAGAAGGCTCTGGAATTCAGAGAAAGGGAAGCGCTGAGTGCATGTGCAACCCCAGCAGACCTGCCTCTGTCCCTGGGGTATGAGTCTCGTGGACAAAGCTCAGTGCAGCACGTGCGAGGCTCCGGTTACGTGCAACAGTCATACACGTAGGAGCCTAAAAATTTGCGTGTCTGAAAGTGTTGAGTAAGCTCCGTACGGCTCCAAAGGCTGCAGTCATAACATATCACTTAAGGAAAGATAAGTTCATACCAGTCCTGAAACTGGTGTGGGTATCTGAACCCTATGAAGAGGTTATCATCAGATGAGAAGGTCTAGATGTGTTTCGTCTACTGAAATGACTCCCAGTCGTGGTGTTTCAACCCGTAGTCCTGTTGTTTCAAGGCAGGATTGTTCTCATTTTCCTTTCTGAACTGCTTTTTCGCTTGCATCGTGTAGCGGTGTGTGGTTTTGCCTGCAGAGAGCAACTCCAAGGAAAGTTACGGAGGGCATCCACTTCTTGGCTCCTCTCACCTTACCCCCAACATCTAATCCAGCTTGTTCCCTTACGGCATGGCATTTTGGCTCTGTTAGAGCCCTGCTGATTGGATTGTTGATTTCTGGTTACTTGCCAAGGGACAAACATGAGTAATCCTGCAAGACTGATGCAGCGTGGTTTGCTGTGCTGCTAGCTAGCCAGAGTGGTGAGACAGGCGTTGATGCAACTCCAAAGTCTTCGGAAATACGCCGTTTTCCAGGAGTTGTGAGGGGATAACTGGCCGACTGGCCTTCTGGGATTTTTTGGGGTTCACCTAATTTCAAGAACAAACGCCAAGTTGCGAGCAGTAACGCAACCTCCGCTTGATACAAGCGGTCTCCACTATAACATTCAGTGGTGCTCCCAGTTGCCCGCGGCGATCTTGTGATGGTGTAACTGGAGGAGGAATGCTCACTCAGGTTGCGCTAGCCAAGGGTCCTTGACGTGTCCTTGTGATCCCCATCACCCCTAGCACCCATGTTGTCGAGGTGTTTGGACGCGTGCGTGGAGTTGGCTGGCTTGGGTGAAGGTGGTAGCCGTCCACTTTTGTGTGGGAGTGTGAAGCTGCTCGAGTGGCTGGGGCCATTAATACTACAGAGTTAAAAAGTAGTAGTGTATCACCTTACTTGTGTGTGAATGTCTCCTTTGAGAGGCACAATGACTTAAACAGACCGAGGGACTGCGCTTGCCATGGGGTAAGGAATTGTTTTTCAGTAAAATAACTGGTATTTTAGTGAGCAGCTTTAGACATCTGCACCAAAGCACTTTTTCTGGCTATAACCTCTGGCTGTAGTTTTAAATCATGTAGTTTAAAATCATGATTTTCCCATATGCTGATCTGTATGCTCCAAGGTGGGACGGCTGTTGGGAGCCTCGGAGACTTGACTTGACCTCCTGTCTATTTTTATTTTTCAGATGTGCTGAGAGACATTATGACACCGCCAAATTTAACTGCAGAGGTACGTTTTGACTGTCCCGTATGCGTTCTTCTCTTTAAACTCCGGTGTTTCTGAATGGAGGTAGGAAGGAGCAGCTGCTGAATAGTAACGTAGGCGATGTGGGCACAAGGAATAGGTGTCAGATTGCTTGAGTCATTGGAGAAACTTGCTGTGTTCTTGGTGCTTTCAAAAAAGTATGTTCCTGGCAGTTGAGTAGATCGAGATCTGATACGGCAATCAGAAGTCTACTGTTGCGAAAATTTTTGCAGAATGGGCTATATGGAAGTTTCTGTTCAATTCAGTGTGCAAACTTACTGTAAAATTTAGATGTAAAAATGGAAAATTTTAGATGTAAAGCTTAGAGAAGTCCGATTTTTATGCAGAAGCATCACTTGGAATAAAAATGGAGAACACTTAAGCTGCTGTCATTATTCATATAAAACAACTTTTTGAAGATCTGGAACAAACCTTCAGTTGCTTTAAAAAAAAAAATAATTCCCATGTGATGCCTCTTTGAGATGAGTTGGCTCTTAGATGCTTTGCAGAGCTAGCAGAGCCAGTGGGGAAACTTTTTGGGGCTCCTTTTGATCAGGCCCTTGGTGAGTGGAAACTGATGTACCTGTTTTATCAGCATTAACTCCCCAGGTGATAAATAAATACAGATTTACCTTTACTCTTTGTGCAGAGGAACATCTCTGTGCACAGTAGTAGAGCTTGTAGTTCCCCAATTCGTCCTTCAGAATGGCTCAGTAGATAAGGAGCACTTGTGGTGTATGTAGTTGTTGGAGATGAATAAATTTTGGCCTTACTGGCTAATATGACATCATAGCAGGGGTTCAACTTGATTTTTATTATTATTGTTGTTTCAAACCATCCTTCTAGTTGTAAAGAGGGTGTTCAGAACATGACCCGAATGTCATTGGCTGGTTTAATGTCTGAATATAGAAGGACTGAAATTGTCATGTTGAAGTCATCTTTGCTTCTGAGTTGCTCTTACGCTGTTGAATGAGCGTCCTCAAACTTCTCTCAATACACACAAGCCAGAAAAAAAATGTATTTTGAGATCTGCTTGAGCAGTACTTTGGGCAAGAGGAGCAAAGGTGTAAATGAAAAGGACATACTTCTGATATGTCCAGAACATAGGCTTGCTTTAATTTACGTTTTTGATTACAGGGGTGCTCAGATCCCTTCATGGTCAATCCCAGCCCAGAATGTTGTGTGTCACAGTACCTTTCACAGCTCTTCTGCATAAGACAGCACTGTTGTAGGGAGCTCCATGTTACATTTTTGTCTTTTCATCCCCAGATTAGTTACCTCAGAGAAGTAAATTGGTGACTCAGGGATTCCCTTAGCATTGGAAGAACAGTTCTGCTCTAAAACCCTCTGAAGTGAATTAATTTCCGAGGAAACTTCTCATTTGTGCATTTTGCATGAAACGCTGTAGTAGTTCGTTATTCAGCTTTGATGCTCTTGCATCAAATTCAAAACCAAACATTGAAAGCAAAGCTTGTCACCTTCTTTGGACTCTAGCATTCTGTCTAGGGTTTTTGCAGTTTCTGAAGTACTTCCATGCTGGAAATTGCCTTCTGCTTTGCCACAGGCTTTCCTTTCTATTTTTTTTTTCCACTCCTTTATGTGCTATGGGATTTTTCTTGCAACGTCTAGGAGAGAGTAATTGGAACCATTCTCCGTGCTGTGTGCTCCAGTGTTAGGAACTAAAATCGTGGAGGACCTGCACCCTCTCAAGGACCTGCTCAAGATTGTGCAGCTTAATGTTTCCTAAAGTTGCTTTCTGACTCTTAATCCCTCTGCACCATCACAGGGCACCCATTTCATCTGCTCCTCGTTCCTCTTCTTTGAAGAAAATACCGCAAGGCTTGCCTTTGATCCCAGATCTTGGAGAGCATCTTCAGCGTGCTGTTACCACTTGGGATTTTTCAGGCTGTTCTCACAGGACTACTTTGTCTCTCCTTTTCGCAGGAACCTTGTTGGAGATAGTTAAGATAGACTCAAAGTCGTACAGACAACTTCACAGCATCTTCTAACAGCTTCTTTTCTTAAGGGCTTCTAATTAAATTCGTTTACATCTGCTGCAAAAACTGACATCTCTGAGTTCACACAAAACAATCATTTGAGGAGTCTTTGGATCTTCCGTGTGGAAGAATTGATTAGTGTGTGTTCACGTTCATTAACCTTTGCTGCTTCTTTAGCAAAGATTATTCGCTTCATCGGGCTTCCCAGTTTGGTCTGCTGGGAGATTAAGTGGGTGGTCTGTACTGCAAGTGAATAACCTGTCCTTGCAGTTCCCTCCAAAAGGCTTCGAACTTGTGCTGCAGTAATTTAGGAGTTCCATACCTTCATCCCTCACTTCTGCTCTTGAAGTCCTTGGAGGTTCTTCAAAAGGAGCCTTGCGTGTGTGACAAGAGAGTAGCACTTACAAAACGAATACAAACACCAACAAATGCTTTCATTTTTAGACCAGAAAAGGAAATGGTGTTTCTAGCCGAGAATTTTTAAGTTAACCAGAGATGTATTTATAAGATCCCAAGTCTTGTCAATCGAGAATTGGGGGGCACTTTATAAAGTGTTATTCTCCTGACAAAACTAGTCCAGCCCTCGGTAATTCTGCCAGTCAGCACAGCGTTGTCTGTCATCTGAGGTGTTAGAGGTTTGGGTGCTTGTCTCTGCTTGTTGCTTATTTTTTTGTTCTCCTGAGTTTTCTTTCATTTCTTGCACGTTCACTTGAAATACTTTCCACCTCTAGATGGAAGAAAGCGTTTGCGTGTGTATCTCCATAGAAGAAAAAGGACAGCCTTGTTCAGTGATTTGACTTTAAAACCCTTAAGTATTGCAAGTGCCTTGTGTGACATTTCTTCTTGGATTACCATTTTTTGAATATGGAAATTGCAGGTTTTTTGGTTCAAAACCCCTTTGAGCAAATTTGAGTTCGTTCCCAACGCAGACCCAAGTGCGGTCAGAATTTTTCGGTGGAATTCCTGTTGTCTGGTCAGTGACTGAGGTCTGGCCCTGTTTTCTCTCAGCGGGCAGTCTAATTATTGCTTGAGTAATGGGTTTTCACAAGGTTATTCTTTTGTGCCAATGCACTTTTAAATTCTAGAAAATTTGTGATGTAAGATCCAGAGTCTGTGCCACTGATTTCGGTAGCGGTGTGAAATAGTCAAGGTGCTTGCTTATGTATTACTAGAGAAATGTCTACAATGCATATAATATGATATAATATGCAGTACGTTGCTGAATAATATTGGAATAAAAATATATATCCATGTATGAGATGGGGGTTTATTTAGAAATTAAATTTTTTGCACGCCGGTCACAAAGTTGACGTGTCCTGCTTGAGCTTGCTGCAATTTCCTTCTGAGATTTTGAGAAATTACTACTTCTTGTTGCAGTTGCACAGTACCCTTTTGAAGACCATAACCCACCACAGCTAGAGCTTATCAAACCCTTTTGCGAAGATCTTGACCAATGGCTAAGTGAAGATGACAATCATGTTGCAGCAATCCACTGTAAAGCTGGAAAGGGACGAACTGGTGTAATGATTTGTGCGTATTTGTTGCATCGAGGCAAGTTTTTAAAGGCTCAAGAAGCCCTAGATTTCTATGGGGAAGTAAGGACCAGAGACAAGAAGGTGAGCTATTTTCTGTTCTTCTCTTACCTGTGTTGTTATGCTTTTCAGCTTGAGATCAATTCAAATAGTCAAGCCCTTTAAGAAATGGCCAGCAGAAATGGCCTTTAATTGCGTGGGCAGCAGGTCGAGGGAGGGGGTTCTGCCCCTCTACTCTGCTCTCCTGAGACCCCGCCTGGAATACTGTGTTCAGCTCTGGGGTCCCCAGCACAAGAAGGACATGGAGCTGCTGGAGCGGGTCCAGAGGAGGCCACAAAGATGATCCGAGGGCTGGAGCATCTCTGCTATGGAGACAGGCTGAGAGAGTTGGGGCTGTTCAGCCTGGAGAAGAGAAGGCTCCGGGGTGATCTTCTAGCAGCTTTCCAGTACCTAAAGGGGGCCTACAGGAAAGCTGGAGAGGGGCTTTTGACAAGGGTGTGTAGTGACAGGACACGGGGCAATGGCTTTAAACTGAAAGAGGGCAGATTTAGGTTGGATATAGGAAAGAAATTTTTCACTGTGAGGGTGGTGAGGCACTGGAACAGGTTGCCCAGAGAAGCTGTGGCTGCCCCATCCCTGGAAGTGTTCAAGGCCAGGTTGGATGAGGCTTTGAGCAACCTGGTGTAGTGGAGGGGGTCCCTGCCGATGGCAGGGGGGTTGGAACTGGATGATCTTTGAGGTCCCTTCCAACCCAACCCATTCTATGATTCTAAATACTTTCTATCAGTCGTGATATCTGGTTTGATTTAGCTTCAACATTGTTGGATCAGTGAAGTTCTAAATGAAAAAGCTTTCCTAAGCAGCAGTAGCAATTAGTCACAACGCTAAAACAGTCTGGTTTTTCCATCTCCTGTTCAAGAAGCTCTGGACAGTTTATTTTAACAAGCTTTTTAAATAGCATTCTGCTGCGTGCTGCATCGAACAGACAGTCGACGAGTGAACTTTCTCGTTCAGCATTTTCAGCCCACATAAGAGGATTGTTCTAGCGTGTTGTGTCTGAATGGGCGAGTTGTTCGTCTCCTCAGGTTCTCTTAACTTCTGCGGTGGTGTTTGGAGATGTGCAGTCGTTGCAGTGCGTGTTACGGTTGAATGACCCTACTGGAAGAGTCTGTTGTTGGATGCCCCGTTCCAATGAAAGGCTGGTTAGACCCAGGCACTGGCTGCCCTCAGTCTGCTTCACGAGGTGCTGCCGTTTCGTTTCTTGTCTCCTGAGGAGAAATGGGAGCATCTTGTTTCAGGGAAGTGATGTTCACAGCTACAAGAGCTTTCTGTTAAGACCTTGTCAGTGGTGCAGACAGACTTAGTAACTGTACATTGGACCTTCCTGGCATGGTTATGCCTCATTAATGGGAATTTAACCTCCTCATTTGAAATCTCCTCCAAATATAACAAGGTGTGACTTGCAAGGTCACTTCAGGAAGCTTCCCTGCTCATCTTCCATCGTTTCCTTGTGTATGTTGGTAGAGCAGCCCAGGGGGATCATCCCGGCAGGCCAGTTTCAGCCTACTCAAGTACAGAGCTCTCTGTGTTGCTGTAATATTTGCATAAAGTATTAATTTCACAGCCTGTAGACCTCTAATAAGCAGAGTTTCGTGTTTGAAGGCTCTCAAGAGCAGAAGTGTCACCTAAGGAATTGTAGAATTTGGCTGTTAATTCATTGGAAGGAGCAAATAACTTGTTGGTTTGCTCTCTTTACGAGATGGAGCTGTTATTCCATGTACTGCTGAGAAGATAGTTGTGTGTGGTGTAATGCTAAAGCAGAGCCAGTGCCAAGGTTTCCCATGAAAACTTGGTGGTTTTTGGTAAGAGTGCATGACGGTGAAGAGGAATGAGCTGCGTGATGAGCAAACAGCGTGGATTACTCCGTGTTATCTGAAGAGACGAATGAGAGGAGGAGGGCCACGAAGATGATAAGAGGGCTGGAGCACCTTTCCTATGAGGACAGGCTGAAAGAGTTGGGGCTGTTCAACCTGAAGAAGAGGAGGCTCCGGAGTGACCTTATAGCGGTCTTCCAGTACCTCAAGGGGGCCTACAAGAAAGATGGGGAGAGGCTGTTCAGGAGGGCCAGTTGTGATAGGACAAGGGGTAATGGTTTTAAAATAGAGGGAGGTAGATTCAGGTTGGATATTAGGAAAAAATTTTTTACCATGAGAGTTGTAGAACACTGGAACAGGTTGCCCAGAGAGGTGGTGGATGCACCATCCCTGGAGACGTTCAAGGCCAGGTTGGACGAGGCCCTGAGCAACCTGATCTAGTTGGAGATACCCCTGTTCCTTGCAGGGGGGTTGGACTAGATGACCTTTGAAGGTCCCTTCCAGCCCGAACCATTCTATGATTCTATGAAATATAAAACCGACGGAACAAACACGCGGTGAAGCATGTTGTGCCTCGGTTTCCCTTTTGTAAAGAGAGGGTAGTATTTCTGCACGGGTAAGGTCAGTGAGGTGTTCCTCAGTACCCCAGTGCTCCCTCTGGCATGCTCGAGGTAACGGAGAGCTTAGTAATCAGGAATAGTGAGAGCCTTGTTTAGCATCACTGTAAATATTTTCTGTAACCAGCAGCTCTGTTTTGGTTTCAATGTCTCTGCTGCAAGAGTTGAGTTGTTGGGGTTTTCCCCCCCCCCCAGCTCCACTTGAGCATGGTTATCTTTATGTGAACAGTGGGCAGCATGTGATTCCCATAATCCTTGAAGTGGTGTTTATAAACAGATATTCCAGTGCAGGTTCTGGGAGCTTTTTCTTCCGTCGTGGCCCATATTTCAGTGTTACATGTCAAGTGCTGCTCTCTCATTTGACACTTCACCACACCTTTATGTAACTGGCTTCCTGAACTCGGAGTAAATGAGACATCAAAAGAGCTGTTTGCACCTAGGGACAAGAAGATGCTTTGCTTTTTTTTTTTTTTTCTTGTTGCTGAACCAGCACATGTGTGATGAAGGAACACTGGCTTTAATTAGGTACCAAATTTTCTTCGTTTCAAGCCTGCACAAGGTGTGCACTTTGTATGTACCCGCTCAGAATAGCGTAGCTAAATCGCTGTTGCCGTTAACGTGCACGGCCAAGTGATTCTCAGAAGGATTTAGTCCGTGCTGGCAGGAAGTGGGAGTCTAATTGCAAGAGGAAGTATGACTAATTGGTCAAGAGAACAACCTTGAGTACTTCTGGAGCAAGCTTTTCCCAGGTACCTGCTGGGACAAGCAGCTTCACAGAGGCCTTTAGATGTTAAGTGAGAGTTGTTGTAGATGAGGCTGGCAGTTGCCAGATGGTCTGTTAATGTACTCTCTTCCCTGGGAAAAGTAGCAGGGAGTAAGGTGTTCAGAACTGAGTCTAAAAGTCTCTCTCTGACCAAAAACTGTTGGTATTTTGGTTTTTTTTCCTCCTCTATAAGCTGCCCATCTTGACTTCTGTAACTCATCATAGTAGGGGGAACTTTTTCAGAAGGAGGGAATAATGAAGATGAGAAAGTACTGGCTAAATGGTTGTGTCTATCAGTCACCACTGCTCTAGTAGAGCAGGACTGATTTCCATTTTCTCTTTGAGCCAAGGGAGACAAGCTGTTTTCTGAAATTGGATAAAGAACTGTAATTTTCCAACCCATTTTCAGACCTGAGGGAGAAGTAAACCCTCCAAAAAGTCTTCTAAAAAGCTGCTGCTTGCACTATTTGAAGTGGTTAGCTTATTACCTCTTTTTTTTTTCCTTAAGATGGACACTGAAATACTACTGTGATGATGGAGGCTTGACACCTTCCTACAGCTGGAGAAGGTCTTTATTTATTCCTCCTTCTACCTTGAAGGGTTTTATGGTGAGGATTAGACTCAGAAGTGACCATACTCTACTCAATGGATAGGTAGAGGGAAAAACTCTACCTATTGGTGGGAAAAACTACTCAAGTGCTTGAGCTGGAGCTCATCCTTTCAGGAGCATTCTTTGACCGTCATAACGTTGTATTTTTAGGAATGGCTCCTAATAGCAGTGTAACTGAACAGGAAATGGAAACCAGTTATTTCATGCGAGCAAGTCTCAGAATGACTCTTTGAGCAGGGTAGATATCCAGTGTCTGATGTGTCAGAGCTGACCTGATGCCTGTTCCATGTACTCAGGTGACAAGCTCTGCCAAACCCGATGCTGCAAGCCTAGTCTGAGGCTGCAGCTTTAGCTTGATTCTCATAGTAGGGCGTATTATTCGAGTGAACGTGGGAATAAGGCTTCCCAAAACGTTTCTTCTTCATAGCACTGCCCATGCAGCACTGAGAGGAGAACCAGGAGCAGCACCTGACAGTTTTTGTGATGTCTACACCGCTCGGCAGTGCTCTGTGAAACTCTGGCGTAGGGACTAGAGAAGTTAATCTAATGTCCATTTAAAAATGGTGATGGTGATAGAAGGGAAACGTAAGCTTCTTGAGGAGAAAATACTTAAACTGCTTCCCTGTTATCTAATGTCCATTTAAAAAATGGTGATGATGATAGAAGGGAAACATAAGCTTTGAGGAGAAAATACTTAAACTGCTTCCCTGTTCTTTTTTAGAATCACAGAACGGTTTGGGTTGGAAGGGACCTTCAAGATCATCCAGTTCCAACCCCCTTGCCATGGGCAGGGACACCCTCCACTACACCAGGTTGCCCAAAGCCTCATCCAACCTGGCCTTGAACACTTCCAGGGATGGGACAGCCACAACTTCTCTGGGCAACCTGTTCCAGTGCCTCACCACCCTCAGAGGGAAGAATTTCTTTAGTTCTAATGGAAATCTCCCCTCTTTCAGTTTGAAGCCATTGCCCCATGTCCTGTCACTATACACCCTTGTCCAAAGTCCCTCTCCAGCTTCTTGTAGCCCCTTCAGGTACTGGAAGGTGCTGGAAGGTCTCCCTGGAGCCATCTCTTCTCCAGGCTGAACAGCCCGAACTCTCAGCCGGTCTTCATAGTAGAGGTGCTCCAGCCCTCAGATCATCTTTGTATTCTTCTTGAGTAAAACTAAGTGGGGGTTGGTTGTACCTCTTGGAACATTAGCTTGTTATGAAAATGTTCT